CAGAGAATACTGCAGGATATTCTAAAAAAGGAAAATACCAAGATTCCAAAAATAGTGGCAGAGAAACCACAATGAATGAAGCAGAAAGCGAAATGAAGAAGACAAACTGACAACAAATGACAGAAAAAGAGCTCAACAGGAATGAGGCAGAGAAGATCGGATGGTAGGAACAGCTATTTTGGAGAAAACAAGACATCATAATAGCTAGTGCTGATTTAGTATCATCTTGTTTTGAAGTCCCATCAAACTTGTATTCTTCTGTCTCCATCAGTGTTAAAAGGTTGTATCTTATTGGATTTTGTTATATATGATAAGGTAAGCAAAAAATTTTATAGACAAGGAGATTATACAGAAACCATTGTTCATTTTCTGTTAATTGGTTCTAAATACCCTGTAATAATGTCATTCTCTTGAATGGTTTTATAGTGTCTTGATATGTTTGGTGCTACAATATATGAAGTTATACTCAAAGATTTCAAGGAAAGAGACACTATGGTAACTATTTTTATGTCAGGATATCTTGTGGTGAAACACTATTTTGCTTAAATGGTTGTGTTTTGACCTGTGCTGTTCTGTTGTTATGCCCTCTTTTATCTCAATTCTCCCTTTTTTAAAATTATTTACTTTTTTCTTTTTATCTTTTTAATTAAGGGAAAAATAAAAAATAGCAGGATACATTATAGTAACCTACTTTGATTTCCTATTAACTTGATTTGAAATCCTGTATTGCCCTCACCATCTTGTTTTGACTGATTTTCCCCTATTCTGCTTTGCTTGATAATACCAAGTTCGAAAGTATTGGCAACAACCTTGAAGACAATAATGAAGCCCATTCTGGTTGCCTATTATCTTCTTTTAAAGTCCTGTAATGTCTCCAGTGCTTTGGTTTTATTCTTTACTGTTTTGCTCAATTTTATTATAACTGGCAATTCTTCTTAAAATAGCAAGAGGCAGTATGGTAACCATTGTTAATCACCTTGTATTTTGTTTTTACATTATCTATTATGTCCATCCTTTTGATTTGACTGACTCTGTTCTGATGTCACATTTGGTTTTACTCTCTTCAAAAAAAGTAATAAGAACTGGGGGAGTAATAAAACCCAAAATGTGTAATTGTCATTGTAAAAAAGAAAGGAAAATATGCTCTAAAGGATATAACTGCATATATGTTTAAGAGTATAAGATAGATAACCATATTACTGAGTTTTTTTGATCATTGAACAAAAATGTTTGCACTCTCACTTTTTGAAAGTCCACTTTATATGCTTTAATTTTGTAACTTGAACAACTATTTCTAAGATGAGAATATGTAATCTATTAACTAGTGATTTCTTACTGTTTATCTTTTAAATTACGTATTACTTGTACCCTTTTTCTGTTTTTTCTTTTTCTCCTTAAATTAAAAAAAAGAATCAGAATGAATAGATAAAAAAAGATAGTAGAAATGAATGAAATATTAGTAACCACAATAAATGCAAGTAAACTATTTTCTAATTAAGATAAAGATTATCATACTGAACTTAATAAAAACAAAATCTAGCTACATGTTCTTTTTTTTAGCTACATGTTCTTATATATCCATAAAGAATTTTTGAAAGGAAAAGATACATCAAGTAGTCAAAACTACTTAACAGCTATATCAACATCATGCAAAATGGATTATAGACAAAAAGTATTACCATGTATATTATTCCTTCTTTTTTTGGCCTTTGAGACAAGGTCTTTCTATGCAATTGAGGCTGGCCTTGTACTCATTTTGTACCAAGGGTGGTCTCAAACTTACAACAATCCTCCTGCCCCAGCCTTCTGAGTGCTGGGATTACAGACATGTGCCACCATGCCCATTTCTATAGTGTTATTTCTAATAATAAAAGTAGTAATTCTCTATGAAAATACTATAATTCTAAATTTATATACTTATAGCCTCTAAATATATAAAGCAAAAATTGTCACAAATCCAGAGAGAAATAGACAAATGCATAATCTTTATATGAGACTTTGAAACATCTCTCTCAACAATTGATAGTTCAAAAAGGCAAAAAGATAAGCTACATAGCATAAATTCTGTGGTCGATAGCTTGATTTAAATATCTCTAACTAGACTCCTGCAACCAATATCAGAATATATATAGTCTCTTATTATAGACAGCTAAGTCAGATAGAAATTAATATACAGTCAGAGAGCGATGGACCTCTCAAAGAAGTCATGAAAAATGAAGACATCAAAATTATAGCTAAAGGTGCATATGAAGAAGACCAAGCCTCAAGCCAAAGAGAAATGGCCAGACCCACATACTCCCCTAAGGAATAAGCAGTACTTGGAATTATAATTAGCATCATCTGGTCCAGTAAAGTCCAGATAGGCATCAGTCACCCAGGTGGGTGACCAGAACATCTGGACTCATCCTTCCTGAAGCAAAATGCTTTCATTCTTTTCATGTACCTTTTGCTAGTCATTGTACTTCCCTAGTGGATCAATATTAGCTAAGTAGTTTTACTTCTAATTTTATTGGTTGATTATAGTTTGACCTACATTGTACTCAGCTGGTGATTTTGTTCTGCCTTGTGATTTTGCTCTATAAATTTTTAGAGAAATAACCTCAATGACAACTCACTTTTGGGATCCCTCCTGTCTCTCAGAAGTTCTCTCTCAATAAATCTTTCCTACTCTTAACTTCTGTTGTTCCTTAGAATTCATTCTTCAGTTTCAGGGGGTATGAACTTGGTATATCTGACATTTAACAGATAGGGAGTTATATTTCTCCTATATTATTCTGAAGCAATCATAAAACATTTCTAACTTCTCTCCAAAAATCCTAAAGTCAGCATCATATACTATATTCTTAGAGTACATGGTAAAACTCAAAACCAAGTGATATCTTTAAAAAAGATTTAGGCTTAGAAATTTCAATGTACTTTTAATTAAACTCATGGATGGAAAAAGAAATCATAACCAACATCAGAGCTGCATGTGGTGGCACACACCTTAATCTCAGTACTCTAGAGGTTGAATCATGAGTTCCAGGCCAGCCTGAAACACATAGCAAGACCCCATCTCAAAAACAAAACAAACAAAATCAGAAAATATTTTTAAATCACAGTCATTTTCACATGGAGCAGTAGACAGCACAATTTACCACTGGAGAAAGCTAGCTGATCCATTTGCGAAATGTAGCTGAAAAGTTCAGTAAAAGTCAACACAGAATGACCAGAGAGCCAAAATGCAAATTGCTGAAAGCCACGCCACTGAATATCAATTTGCTCAATAACCAGTTTGAATTTTTTTTTCAAAATATGTTGCATCTCATTTCTATTTTTATCTCCAGAGTATAAAAGTTGTTAGACTCCAATTTGAGTTATTTATGTCCAGCATGGGTTCAAGAGGTATGGGAGCCCACACTACAAGTACCAATTTAACCCTGGACTGACACCATCCTTTTTTCTTTCTCTCTCTCTCTCTTATTTATTTATTTATTTTTTTTTTGGAGAGTGGGAGTACCAGGCATTAAACTCACATCTGACACTTGCCAGGTAGGTACTATGTCCCTGGGGTACATCTCAGGCCCTAACACAGTCCTTATTACTGATCTTCATAGTCAAGGGTTACTGTCCCAAAACAACCTGCTCATTTTATCCTGGAAAACCCTTGCCTCCTTTTGCCTCCCACGATATACTCATGAATGGTTCACCCTGGGATGCATACCCCACATTACCATCCTCCATCAAGCCAAGCAAAATCTTTGTTCTGGAGGGCTGGTTTATCTCCTACTCTTTTTTAGGTTGAGGAGGAGCCATTAATTGTTAAAGCCAGTTTTCTACAACCCTTTTGTAATGCAGATACAAGGGCTGGTGTAGATGCAAGAACTAAGTCAAACATGTACCTAAGACTTTGGGGAAAGGTAGAGGCTGGACGTTTTCCATATTTCGGAGAACAGGCTATTCAGCATCTCTGGCAAACCACTGGCAAACTGTTTTCAGTGACCACTGACCCGGTGTCTACAAATGGCACACGATGCCCAGTCAGGAAGGGGGTGCTTGAATCAAAGAGATGGCAAGATTTGACACAAGTAAAATAAAGGTGTGTCTTTTTGGGTGGAGCTACTCCTTTAAAACAGTTTTTAAACTTTGAGGTTTTAAAGTTTGAGAATCCTGAGGCCGAGGGAAGGGTAGGGCTTCTGGCCTGGAACTTACCCTAAGGAGCCACTGGAGATGAGACGTTGAACCTTAAGTTTGCCTTTTCTTTGTGATATCTCCAAATTTTGTTCAGTAGGCTATACAAGCCCGGTCCAGCATCAAAGATGTCGTGGGGCATGAAGGCAGGACTTTGCCTTGGCTCCACTAGGCAGAGATGGAAAGTGGTCTCCGCCCATGAGTCTCCTCTGAAGCCGTTCTGAAATGCATCTGATGTTCTGGGTGATTCCTGACCACAAAGCCAGGAGATGCCATCACAACCCAGCGGTACTAGAGGCCAGTTGGGTGGTCGGGAAAAATTCCCTTTTTTGAATATTCAAGAAGATGAGGGCTCCTCCGACAGGGCTTTGGGCTGGGGGGCTAAACTCACAGCAGCATATGCCCTTCTTGGGACCGCTGCTCCCGCTGCTCATCCAGGCAACTGTCTCCAGAAGCAGGCTAACCTTATGCCCTTCTCCGAGTTAACTAGGGTCCTCCAGACAGAGAAACGAGGCTCAGCATGCTCAGCCTGGACCTCATGTCTAGCAGGAAGCATCATACCCGAATTTGGGGGCGTAAGAAAAAGCGGAAAATGATGCAACCCACGATTAGTTCATTCATCATGCATTTATTTAAGATCTACTGCTTGCTGGGGCCCACTTGGCCAGCAGTAGTCACACAACATGTAACCGCAAGCCAGAAACAACCAAGGAGCTCAAGGACTTAAACCGGAATGGCATGCGCAGTTTCACAGTGGAGGGTCCATCAGGGCACAAGGGATGGGGCCTCAAGACCCCGCCCCTAACACGCCATCGACCCCTGCTCCCGCGTAGCCTTCTGGGAAGTGTAGTCCGCGCCTGCGCCCGTCGGACCACCGAGCCAGTTACTCCGGTAGAAAGCGGGTCCACCTCTACCGGACTGCCAGATGAGAGGGACAGGCCCGGGCGCGCCCACCCTCGCTCTTCCCTCGCGTCCCACGGCCCCGGCCTCGCCTCCTGGCTCGCGGAGCTGGGCGGACGCCGCGCCGGAAGCTGGGGTGGTCAAGGGGCTGCCGTGAGGCTGAGGCCCAGGATGGCGCGCCAGGTAAGGCGAGCCGGGGCGTACGCGCGGGGCGACCGGGGCAGCAGGGCGGGGAAGACCGCGACCGCCAACTTTGGGCCAGCCCAGTGTCCCAGATTTCTAGTCGATAAGTCTGGATCGTCCTCCGCCTCCCCCCATACTACCGGTCCCCGAGACACAGTGATCTCTAGATTCTCTCCATCCGGCGAAACTTGTCCTTTGCCTTTGCTCTACATGGCTTCTTTCGGTTACAAATTATCCTGAGAGTAATGGAGGTGGGCATGAAGGCCTCAGGGCAATGGCTGTCTAGTACTTTTATATTTGATAAGATTCTGGATCCCGAGGAGTGGGGAGACACAGAAGACAGAACATATTCCAAATTTTATCCTACTAAGGCGTGTAGAATCGAGAATTGTAGGGAGAGCTCCATCTGCCGTCGCTGGGGCACTGTCCGAGCTTAGCTGTGGGCTGTGGAAATGCCTATGGAGACGTGCTGCATTGTCTTCTGATGGGTACCTGGAGCCAACTGTGCAGTTGTGGTGACTCTGAAACTTTGGCCAAACTGGAGCGGCGTTGGGATGGTGGCCTGAAGTGTGGTCAGGTAGAGCAGGCTCTGTGCCAGCACCTTGTCATCACATAAGCATTGCAGAAGAGGGGAGGAGCCAGGAAAATGGACTGCCGCAGGTCAGGGCCAGTCTTCTTTGCAGCTGTAGTTGACAGGCAGCTCAAGGACACCTTTGCCCAGACATGCCATTGGCCCTACTCGGGACTGGACCGCTGACTCTCAGAAAAGTATGCTTCCTCCCACTGTAGTTTCTTGGGGAAGGTGGCTAGCCGTGACCTCGGTGAGTACAAGGTGGAGAAGGACAGAGAGAACCTGCAGTCTTCCTGCTTAGTACGACTTCCCGAAGTCCAGGGGTGTAGGAGCACAGCCTGAAGGGGAGACACAGGGGTAGCGTGGTGTGATCTAGTGACCTAGGAGCCCAAGGTAAGCCTGGAGTATGGTCTAGGTTGGTAAGATGCATGTTCTGATGGGTGTTAGAGGAGGCTGCCCGGCTCTGGCAGTCCCAGATCGGCCCAAAGCCTCTCTCAGTTTATTGGGGAGGAGGCTGAAGTGAGGTCCAAAGGGAGCAGAGGGTGCAGGTGGTGAGCTGCAGGTGATGTCCCTCCTGTAGACAAGCATTTGCACATTCAGTTTTTCCACACACGCGCTCCATTCTTCCTGCACTTCTCTGGACACTGACAAGAGCACCAACTCTAGCTACAGCAAGTCCCCATTGGCATCTTTTGAAAACTTGGTCACCAAAGATGGAAGAGGCCTGGAAAGCATTGCTCACAAAGATCTATTTAGCCTGTGGGTAAAAAAGCTTTGGAGGTAGTCCTGTGTGGAAGGCCCAAGGTGCCAGTATGTGTGACATGCAAGTAGATGAGAGGCAGACAGACCAGGTGGCAGTAACACCAGTCATAGCACTGTACACACCCCAGCATTTACTCTGGGCACTTTCCCTGCACTAATTCTCTTCGTGTTCACAACATCCCTGGGAGGTAGCTTATCATGAACTTAATATCATAGGTGAGTTTGCTCAGCCCAAGTGGCAAAGAAGTTTGGCTGAAGCTCCATAACCAATTAGTTCTGTGCACCCTTCTGTTTTTGGGAGAAGCAACTTGCATTACCCAAACTCACAGAAGACAGGTAGATCAGAATACTGTGATTTGAGACTGGCTTCCAAATTTCATGTGTTGGAAACTTACTTCCAAAGTTGTATGCTAATGTTGTTTGAGAGGTGGAAAATTGGGAAGCAGTTGAGTTATGAAGACTTTATCCTCATGAGTGGATTACTCCATTGATAGACTAATTGATTAATCAGTGATGGAAGGAGTGAGCTCTGGCTGGCTTGCCCTGGTTTACCATATCACATGTTGGGATACAGAAAAAGGTCCTACACAGTTGTGGCCTCTTAATGTAGGACTAACTTCTCAGACCAAACCTGTAAGAAATTTATTTTCTTTGTGAATCACCCCATCTCAGGCATTCTGTTTAGAAACACAAAATGGACTGAGACCCAGAATAAACTAGCTGTGCACCGTGAAAATGAGAGCTAACACTCAAAACAGGAAATATATGGTGGCTGATTAAATCATTGGCCACCTGCCTTGTTTGTTTTGTACCACTATACCAGGATATAAAGAACAGAGACTTAGTTCTCAGTTCTGGCCAAATACCACGGGGATGAGGTGACCAAGAGTCATGGGGCCCTCTGTCAGGGTCTCCAAGATCATCCAAGGCTCAAGAACTCACACGAGGACTCAGACTGAGCTGCTAGGCATCAGATACCATGAAACAACAGTAGCAGAGGCATGGGTGCAGTCTGGGGACAGCAAGGGACCAGCTTTCCAGAGGCCTTATCCAGTGCAGTCACAGGACATAGTTCTTCCAGCATGAAGTTGTGACAACTCCTGCAACATGTCGTATACTGGGGAAGCCCACTAGAGAGCAGTTAGTCACACAGGTACTCTCTGCCCAGGACATATGCAGATTCCATGTTCCCAGAAGGAATGCAGAGGCTTAGTACAAACTGTTCCCTTAGCACAGCCCAGCTACTGAGAATTGTGGGGACCCTTATGATGTTCCCAGATGCCTGCCAGGACCCACCTGCCTATAGTCTTTTTAAGAGCCTGTCCTGTTAGCTGTGTGGTCCAGAAGAAGAAATGTAAACCATTTTCTAAGAGAGATCCTGGAGGATGTCTGTGAGGTTCTGGAGAAGGAGTGACCATGATGGGCCACAGCCACAGGTTAGCTCGGGGGGAAAGGTTGTGGCTGCCACCATGACACAGAAGGGACCAGGATCACAGAGTGAGCTAGGGTGGTGGACGGCCTCTGACCACCTTTGGGCTTCCAGACTGCTAGACAGTTGGTAGTCGGTCACCAGAGAGGCTATCCTGAGCCAGAGAGGTGGGTAGAACCCATTTTTGACAGGGTCAAAGGACAGCAGGGGGTTAAGGGCATGACTGTGGTGCTGTCAGCTCTCAGCTGTCAGGGGTGGCAGGTAGAGTGTGGCAGCAGCAGGTGACAAGGCTGCCAATTAATAGCAGTAACAGTTTTTTGTTTTAGATGGGGTCTCATGCAATGCAGGCTGGCCTCAAACTTACTACACAGCCAGGCAGCCCTCAAACGTGTGGTAAGCCGCCTTGCCTTAGCCTCACTAGTGCTGAAACTAAAAGTGTGCCATTACACCTGGCTCAGAGACAGCTTTTTTTAAATCACTGGTTTGAGTAGATGAAACAAGGCAATAGATCATCTTCTTTGACTTATTGGGAATGTCATTTTAATAATTGTCACAAACAATTAATATTTGTTTCTAAGCCAAAAGAACCATTCCAGTCATTTACATTCTGTTTGTGTCATTTGCACGAAGTTCATTTTTTCCATTATTTTAAATTCATGGCCATCAGATGCTGGTCATTTCCTAGGGTTTCATGGCTAGTCTCAAGTCCATGAATGACCTTTTCAAGTAAGACAGAAATGTTACTTTTTTCTCATGAGCCACAATGAGTAGAATGAGCATAGAAGAGTTGAGTGTGGCATATGAAACTGTCCAGGGTGCTGAGTTTTCTGCGTACTTCTCTAAGAAGTGCACAGAATGACAAGGCTCCCAGCCCAAGGCAAGAAGGTGAAGCTGGGTGAGCCTTTTTTATTTGTTTGTTTGTTTTTGTTTTGGTGACAGGAATGGAACTCAGGACCTTGAGCTTGCCAGGCAGGAGCTGTGCTGCTGAGCTATAGCCCCGGCCTGCTGCATGAAGTTATTATTGCCTATCCCACACCCACCCTCAGTGGTACTTAGAGAAGCAACATAATAAACACTTTATGAGTTTTATCTGCACTGTAGTGTCATCTCTGCTAAAAAATGTAGTGTTCAACACAGGTCGGTCAATTCTAATCCAATACGTGAAATCTAAAATGCTCCAGAATCCAAACTTCTGAGTACCGTGACAGCTTGCATGGAGAATCCCACACCTGACAGGTCACAGTTAAAATACACTCGAAATACTGTCTAAAGTCACCTTCCACTTATGTGTAAGGGATGCGTATGAAACAAGTGAATTTCATTTATAGACTCAGGTACCAGTTTCAAGCTACGTCATGTGTATATGCAAACACTGCAGAACTGAAAATCCAGAGCCCGTCTGGATTGGGTCAACCTTGGTATCCCTTGTGGTTAGTTTTATTTATAAATGTTTTTAATGTCACAGTGATAGGATCTTGGGTCGTTGTACATTGACAGTGAAGTGTGCTTATTAATGCAGGTAAGTCTGACCTAATGTGTTAAGTTTACAGCTGACTGGGCTTGACTTTTGCCCTGTTTCAGTGGCCACAGAATATGAGATCATATTAGCTTTCTGGGACTGCCTTGATTTAGGATCACAAGCCAGATGGCTTAAAAAGTATCAGAGTTTTTTCTCTCACTAGTTCTAGAGGCCAGAAACCTGAAACCAAGGGTCATCAGGGGCACACTCCTTGTGAAGGCTCCAGGGCAGAGTTCTCCTTGCCTCTTCAGCTTCTGGTGGCTGCAGGTGCTCCTTAGCCTGCATTTGCATCCCTCCTGTGTGTGCCTCCATCTTCACATGGGCTCTTTTCCCCATGTGTCTATCTCCATATGCCTTCTTGTAATGACGCTAGTCACCTGGCTTTAAGTGACCCATGTAACTAGTTTTATTTGTAGTGAGCCTGTTTCCACGTAAGGTCATGTCCACAGATACGAGAATTAGGACTTCAGTATATATCTTGCTGGGAACTCAGCTGGCTGATGGTACTGTGCTTAGTACTGTTCTTCATGCCTCTGGTGCTAGGTTCCAGCCCTGCCTCTTTCTTCCCATACTCGGCATCCCCTGGGAGACACGGGCAGGTCCCTAAGACCAGGGGCAGCTGTAGAGCCAGCCAACTCCTCAAGACTGTGCCTGCAGGTGCCCATCAGCTTCAAGGACCTGGCTGTGCGGTTCTCGGAGGAGGAATGGCGGCTCTTGGAGGAAGGGCAGCGCGAGTTCTACCGGGATGTGATGCGGGAAAACTATGAGACGCTAGTCTCCGTGGGTAAGACTCCGGCTCCCAGAGTCTCCTGGCACCTCAGGCCCCCGGACCTTTGTCTTCTTATCTGGGAGGTGGGTGGTTTGGGGTGTTCTGAGAGCTTGGGGGCTGGCCTGAGGCTTGCTTTCACTTGTGCACCCTTGCTTTCATGTTCTGTGTACTGTTATGGGATCCTGGGTGCCATCCTGTGGGGCCTCTGTTGTTCTTTGAATCTGGGTGGCCATACAGGCATGCGTGAACATGCAAACTGCAGCATCTGGCCACTGTGAGGCGATGGAAAGGGGAGGCCACCCTGTTCCAGGGTGAGCGTCTCCTCTTGTCTTCCTAGGGACAGCTGAGCTGCTCCCCCTCTCTGCTTTCCTGTTACCCGTGGAGCCTGGAGGAGCCCCGAGGGCAGAAAATCGCACTGAGCAGAGGCAGGAGCCGACTGCGGGGGCCAGCCCCCAGGGTGAGTCTTTGTGGCAGACTTTAGGCACCCTTCACAGCTGCTGTCCTCAGTCCCTAGCACCAGCCCTACCTGGCACTGCCCGTTGCCCCTCTGGGCTTGGGCTCTGGTACATTGTCTATGCTGGCTGTTGCATGGAAAAGTGCTCAGAGGCTACCTGGAGCACCCTGGGCTGCTCTCGCACCTCAGCCCCTCCTCTTGCCCCCATGGAAGCTTTACCCCAGCCCCCACCTTAGGGCCAGCCTGCAGCTCCTCAGATGGTAATGTAGTCCATGGGGCCCAGGCTGGGTAAGGCCCAGAAGGTCCAGATGGCCCCCTTAAGAAGGGGGATAGGACTGTTACCTATTTTATCTTCCAGCAGATTAAGTGTTTCCGTCTTTATATGTATGACTTCAATCCATATTTATTTTGGTTTGTGGTAAGAGACAGGGATTTAAATTCAGTCTACCTGGAACCAATTTCCCCAGCACTATTTGCCAAAGAGGGTATTTTTCCTCCAGCATATATTTTTGGCCTCCCTGTCAGAGACCAGAGAGCTGAAAATGCCTGGGATTGATTCTACGTCCTCTATTCTGTTCCTTTGATCCACATGGCTTTTCTTGTGCCTGTACCATGTTGTTTTTATCATTGCAGCTCTGTAGTATAATCTGAACTCCAGAATTGTGATGTCTCCTGCTTTCTTTTTGTTGCCCCCAGGATTGCTTTTGCTATACTGGGTCTTTTCTGGTTCCATATGAATCTTTTTTTTTTTTTTTTTTGTCTTTTTCCTTTTTATTGGTACCAGGGATCGAACTCACGACTGCCTGCTTGCAAGGCAGGCCTTGTGCTGCTGAGCTAAATCCCTAGCCCCCCCCCCCTTTTTGTGGTTCCATATTAATCTTAGGGGAGTGGTTTCTAGTTCTTTAAATGTCAGACACATAAGCTTAAGTATCGCAAAACTTTTTGTATATGAAAAACTCAAATTATAAATAGTTTTTAAAAAGATAGAAAACAGGAAAAAGGGTGATAATAATCTCTTACAAATAAAAAGGCTGGGAGGGAAAGGAGAATAAAAGGAATTAAGACATGGTAAGCACAAGATGACTATAAACCCTCAAGGTGAATGTAAATATTTTGTATTGCAAACATGAAAAAGAGAAAGAAAGGAGACAAGAATAATATGGTAACCATGTAGAGTCAGCCTGTTACCTGCCTCCCATCCTGTCCTAGCTGTGCCCTTGGGCAGGTCACCTGACCTAGGTCCAGGTCCTCTGCTTCTCCCTGGGCATCTTCTCCCTCAGGCTGGTCTCGGCTGCTTTTCCGGTGATGGTGAGGGCTGCCCAAGGGGCTGGGTGTGGTGACACATGCAGAAGCGTGTGTGCCACACAGCGGGGAGGCACAGGGCTCACGGTAGCCTTCTGCCAGGAGGACAGCTGCAGCCCAGCCTGCACCTCACCGCCTTGGTGCAGCTGGTGAAGGAGATTCCAGAGTTCTTGTTCGGGGAAACCAAGGGCGCCGAGGATGGCCCTGAGAGTGAGGGAGCCAGCCTGGATGGGGACACAGCGAGCCTACAAGGTAAGACAGAAAGCAAGGGTGGCCTCCGGAGCCTCTCTGTGCTCCACAAGGTCAAGGTCAAGTCCATAGCACCACATGCAGTGTCCCTGCCAGCTCCTGGAACATACAGCAAGGCCGTGGTTCCTGGTGGCTGGGCTGTGTGCCCCCCCCTGCAAGCTCCTAGCCAGGGAACATAAGAGCAGCTCAGCCTTGCTCCTAGTGGATTCTTTGTGCACCCAGCTTCCTCATGGTGGCCCCACCCTGTCAGCTCGTACCTCACATGGTAGGTGACCGGTGTGTTTGTCCCCAGTTGTGCGAATGAGTTAGGGAGGGAAACTGAGTCTTATCCCAGTGGCCCATGGGGGCCCAGTCATCCCTCACTGGCTCTGTGTCTGCCTTCCTCTCCAGCTGTCTATCTGCCATCCAGGGTGGCTGAGCTCAGGCCCCATCTCCAGCCTAGAAGCTCCCCACACTCCAGCCCCACTCAGGTGATGGCAGATGAAGTAGAAAGTGGGGCAGAGATGGGGATGTACGGGGGTGCCAGGAAGTGGCTTTAGAACTGCTGCTTCCTGTTCTACCAGGGCACACCTGGCTGTAAATCTGTTTCACAGCTCAGTCGTGGCAGTGCTGAAGTCACTGATACCCAGGCTATTGTTAGCTGAACATGGCAAGAAAGGACTGGGATTGTGATGATGTCGGGACATCTTACCAGTTGGCATCTCTTCCCTCCTCTCAACAGCAGCTGTGCCAGTGGGCATCTGCCCTCTCCAAGGCCTGCTCAGCTGCCTTCCTGACAGCCCTGTGAGCCAGCCCAGCCTGGCCACCACGCCCTCCAGCAGTTCATCCTCTAGTGGCCCTCCTGGAGATGGGGGCCAAGGAAGCCCCCTCCACACTAGTGAGTCTGACCTCATAGGGAAAGCGCCAGCCAGCATGGAATCAGGGATTTAGGGTGCCCTCTTCATTTTCTCTAGGTCTCCATTTCCTCTGTTGCTAAATGGGACCAAGATCCCCAGGGAATGAGACAACATGCTCTTCCTCTGGTCTGCAGACCAAAGAGGAGGCGTGACACTTGATCATGCCTCTCACTTTGCCCCAGTCCCCTCACTGAGGACTGTGTGCACAGGCAAGGGAATCCCAGGTCAGCAAGTGGCTTCCCTGTACACCTGGTCTGATTCTCAGCTTTCACCAAAGCAGTGCTAAAAGCCGAGGAAGTAAGGATAGCCACTGGAATTCTCAGGAGTCTCATTTGATCTTTAAATCTTCTTGCAGGGGCTGGGGATTTAGCTCAGTGGTATAGCACCTGGCTGGCAAGCGTGACATACTGAGTTCAATTCCTAGTACCCCCCCCCAAAAAATAAAACAAAACCAATACTGCTTGCAAATTTTGCATTTGTCTATATATCTGAGGGCTTTTGGTTATTGCTGTTGTTTTTATTGCTACTTTCTGTTTGGTTCTGGGGACCGAACCCAGAGCCTCTCAGGTAGTAGGCTGTTGGTCTACCACCAAGTCATCTTTCATTTAGATTATTTTAAAATTTTTTTCATTTAGATTATTTAAATGGTAAAAAATCAATTTTCTTGAACTTGGACAGTCTTTTGCAGTTGATTGTAAAAAACCCAAAAGGGATAGAGAAAGAGGGAGTTTTGGACTTGTCATTTGTTCTTTTCCAAAGTATTAGAACAAAGAAAAGCAGAGTGTGCAGCCTGGGAGAAGCAGTGAATAAATGGTCTTATTAAATACAGTTGGGAGTAGTATGGAATAAAATTGGCACTCCCTAAAAATGCGCCAGTCAGCCTGTGGTTTCAGGTGTCATCTGGTCCGTTTGCTGTAGGGTTCCATGTGTCCTGATTGAGAAATAGGACTGTGGCCTGTATGTTGAGGCTTGCACCAGATTGGGGGGCAGGGGCAGGTGGAAGGGTTGGAGATTATTCAGAGTGAATACCAAGCTCAGTATTTCCAGTTAAAGTGGAAGGGAAGAGGGGAAAGCCTGCGTGGAACAAGTCCTCAGAAGGACTTGTGTCCTCCCACACAAGTCCAGGTTCCCAGGAGTTGGCTACCCGCCAGGGGCTTGGAGACCTCAGGAGATCTGTCCTCATGGGGCCCGGATGTGGGGTAACACCAGAGTCTGGAGCCTTGGCACCCGGTGTGTTTCCCAACAGAAACTGCTGACAGATCTTGGCCCACAGGGAAGGAAGGCCCAGGAGCCCCAAGTGCAGAGCTGAACACTCCTACCTGTAGTCCCAGCCGGAGGAAGAGTCCCCAGCAACAAGAAAGAGAGTCCAAGGGGCCAAGTGAGAAGCTGGCTTTCCTGAGGGAGGGGCAGCCCTGGAGCTGAGTGGGGCTGCCATTGGGAAGGGAGGAGTTTAGACCACGTGAGGAGGTTGTGCCATTCTCCTGTCTGAGCCTCATAACACAGGCAGGCCTGTCTGTTGCGTGGGTGGGCTGGTGAAGGGCTCACGCTGCCTTGTCTGGACCACACTGACCTCAGCACCCATGTGCCCATGCAGGGGTCTCTCCTGGAACCAGCCCTTTGCAAGGCCTCATCAACTGCCTGAAAGATATCCTCATGCCTGGGCCACAGTGCCCTGACCTGTCCCCAGGCTCAGTGCCTCCTCCTCTGAGCCTGGATAGGTCCAGGCAAACAGGAGTGGACTTGGGGTCACGGAGCCCGTCCTGGCCAGGTGAGTCTCTGGAAAGCATGTGTTGCCGTGCCACAGCTGTTTCCTGGCTGCACACCATCTGCCTTGATTTACCACCCAGGCCCTCCTATAGCCCAGGTGTCACATGTCTGTGGGCAGATGGCTCTTCAAGGATAGTAGTTGGCTAAAGAAAACAAAAACTCGGTAGTGGACCCTACCCTGGTTTCTTCAGTGCTCTTTACTCTTGCTAATACCAGGGCACTCACCTGTCCCTTCCTGTGGACCCTTGGTGAGGTGCTGAGAGCGGACTCTGAGGCCTGGGGAGTGCAGTGGAGCAGGAGTTTGATGTGCCTATAAGCCACCAAAGCCTTGGCCCTTGTTTCAGCATCTGTCCCATTACATGTGTGTCTGTCTGTCTGTCAGAATCTGCCTCTCCTTGAAGGGCAGTGTGGCTCAGGACCACCAGCGGCTTTGGGCTTCCCTCAGTGGAGCACCACGCTTACCTTTTGGTGCACCCTTCTGCCCTCCCCTCTTGTCCACCCAGTTCTTTGAGGTGTGTGGTCCCCAGGCATCTGTACACCAGGTGCTGAGATGATGCTGGCTCATACAAGACTAAGTAAGCCACAGGGAGACCCAAGTTCCAGATTTCTGGCCTGTAGCCTTCTTTCTGCAGTAAGAATGGTACCCTGCCCATAATCAGGAGGGCTGAGGATACTGGGCTCAAGTAGAAATGCATGCCTTTTTCCCTTAGTGAAGACCGAGGCCGCTTTGGGGGACTGTCCCCTCCAGGGTCTGCTGAATTGTCTGAAGGAGATTCCCAAGACTCACGACAGGTACCCCAGCCCCTCAAGAGCAGGGCACTCACTGGTTCAGGAGGATCCAGGGCCCTGGAAGAGGAATCCTGGAGGTAAACACTGGGCTAGGAGAGCCCCACATATGACACATCATCCGGGCTATGGGTGACAACAGGTAGGCCCCTGTCGATATGCCAGTCACAGGAGCCATGTGGGGATCATCACTGTGTGCCTGAATCGAGGCATGCAGGAGGTGCTTAGCCAGTGCTTGAGGATTTTCCAAACTGTCTCTTACAGTGGTGAAAGTTCTAGAAGGAAGAAAGGATAGTGGGGAGGGGGAGAAGCCAAGTAATGCAAGGTGGAATTGTAGCTTAGCATGCTCTCAGGGCACAGTTGTGATTCAGGGTTCCTGTCGATATGTTCCGGTTAGGTAGTATGCCTGGGATTCAGGGGCCCCACCAGTGAGTATGGATGGGATGGGTGCCCATTCCCATGGCCACCTATTTCTCTGCATATATGAACTCAGTGAAGCCTGGGCAGGGTGGGGTAAGCCAGTCCTGCTGGCCGATGGGAAGGTATGGCTTGGTGCTGACCTAAGACAGCTTGCTCTACCCTGTTATGCCAGTGCTTCAGGGCACCCCAGGCCTCTGGGTGAAGGTGGTATGGTTTGGGTCTGCAGTGGTTGAGAAGTGACTGTCCCCAGAGCCCTGACTGCCAGGCAGCAGAGAGTCCTGTGAGCCCCTCCTAACCCTCTGCAGCCTCACAGGATGGCATGAGTCCCAGCCTGCAGCCTGAGCCTCCCAGCCGCCCACCTTCCCACAGGACCCGGACACCTCCAGACTCCGCCTCACCCTGCTGGTCCTGGAGCTGGTGACGCACTCACCATGGTGAAAGTGGAAGACAGCTGGACCCCGAGCACCGCGGTGCCTGCATCCGGCCAGCTCAGCAGGCAGGGCCACAGTCCCTCTGCCACTGGAGATACTGGAGGGGTCCATGTGCCCGTCTGGGGCCCCGAGGCTCAAGGTGAGACCTAGGTTGTCTTCCCTATCTCCTATCTCCCAGTGAGACCTAGGATGCAGATCCCAAATGCCCCATGGGATCATCTCCTGCCTGGCAAGCCCCCAGGGCTGAGTACAAACTTGTCACCTTTGCAGAAGCCTGGGCCAGGGAAGCTGTGAGAAAAGATGCCAGGCTACTCTCCCTTTTTGCAGCTTGCAGGGTGTCGAGCTCACCTCTGGAAGCCCTGGAGGCTTGTCTGAAGGGCATTTCCACAAGTGCATTGTCACCTCCTCAGCCACCAGCCACCTCTTGGTCCCGGACCCTCCAGCCAGGAGATGCTGGGTCTCAGAGACCTGAGCTGCGGCCCCAAGGATCACACAGTGAAGGTAGATGTGCCCGTGGACCTGGAGGGGTTTGTCACTGCATGTAGTAGCAGGAGCTGCCAAGGACACTGTTAGGACCCACCCTAGTCCCCTGGGGCCCACCTGCCTCTTCCCCCAGCCTCTTCTTTGTCCTCAGAAGTTCCCCACAGTCTTCGGGCCGCTTCTTCCACGAGCTCTTCTCCCTAGTCCCCAGATAAGCTGTGGACACTCAGGATTCTCCTCAGTGCTGGGGAAACTCCGTGGGCAGATCCTTTGGGGCAGGGTCTCCTGGTGCTACCTCTCCAGTGACCTCTTTCCCAACTATGCTATCACTGGACTGCTCTCTGCAGATGCCACCAGGGAACCACTTGCACCTTTGGGCCCCACCCAACCCTTAGTTCCTCGAGGGACCCCCACTAGCCTCTCCTCAGCCAGCAGCACTGATGGGGACCTGGACTTCAGGAGCCCTGGAGGGAACCAGGGCCAGCACTCTGGCAAAGGTGAGCCCGAGTGGCCCACAGGTGAGTCCCTCCAGGAGCCTGCAAGAGGCTCTTGCCCACATCCTCTTGTGCCTCTGCACCCATTGCCAGAGGCAGAGCTGGGAATACTGAGGCAGGAGCAGGTGCCAGCCTTGTCTTGGGTGGGGTGGAGTTGGGTGAGAAGTGCCTGGGCTCAGCAGGGGCAGGACAGAGTCTGAGGTCTCTTAAAAAATCCGTGCATTAAACATATCTTTTTTCCAGCCAGAGACTCGCATCTAATACCTGATTGACCTTTACCCTAGGGAAAAATGTCATGAGGCCCTCAGACATTTGTAAGATACCTTCAGAAGAGTACTTGGTGACCGTGCCTTCCTGAAGCCCCCGGGGGAGACATCCTGGGACTGGAGACCTCGGGGTGCTTTTTCTCCGGTTCCCTCTTTGGGCCTTTTCTTTATCTGAATAAGATACTCTTGGTCCATCTTGTCACACAGGTGGACATGTGGTTTGTCTGCTTATAATATTCTGTTCTGATCACATCTGCTGTTAGGCAAGGGACCTGGACCAGGCCCAGGGTGGGCCAGTAGGGTCCCAAGAGCCAGCCTGGTCCTTCTCTGTGCCTGAGTCCCACCTGAGGGGAGCACCTTGGGTGGGAGCTTCTCCCCTAACACATGGCAGACTCATCATAATGTTTAGTTTTTTAATAGGTGGTATTTCATGGCTTTGTCCAAAAGTTATGAGAGGTTCTGTAGGGAAGATGGGTTTCCCCCCACCTCTGGCCCTCCAGCCCCTCTTTATGTCCCTGTGCCAACCCTGTTGTGAGTTCATCACCTTCCAGACATCTGTCCCCTCACACAGCGTGGAAGATGACCGGGGCACCTCTCCTTGAATGCAGAACAATTGCTGCAACATTAGTTAAATCGAGTCTTATTCTCGGCTACTGATACATATAGAGCAAGCTGTGCTACTCTTTTTCCCTTCAGTGTTGGCTGTAAGCAATACCAACAAGGCCGGTCGAGGTACTGATGTGCAATCTCTGACAGTTTCCTGTCTCCTCACATAGTGCTCTGTATAAAGGATTGAACGCAGCCAGGTAGCAGAGCCACCCAGCTCCAGGAATGTTAACTGGGTACAAGCCTCAAAATAGAGAGACTCTGACTCCCCAGGCCACAAAAGTTTACATATCAGAAACCAAAGTCACAGCCTCCAAATGCATTCATGTGATTTCCCAGTGAAGTTATGTGGACTCGTCTTTCCGCATGGCATTCTCCCTGCATTTTGTAAAGATGCTTTTCTTCCCACCTGGCTCGCCAGCTAGGTACTTACCTAGTTCCCGCCATCCTCACTATCGCTCATCCTTGAACACTTCTTCACAAGATAATACATCCTGGGAGAGGCCTTGGATCAGGGCCTTTGTCCACACATCCTCACTTGAACCGGACTTAGGACCCCTTGGCTGCCCATGACTTTGAATATGTCCTAGTGTCTTTACTCTTGCTGTGGGTTGCATTGGAAGTAGTAGATTGGAATTAACTCGCTGGAATTCTGATAAGATTTCTATGGGATTACAAATATAACTTGCCAGATTATAAGGTGAACTGGAAAAAAGATTACAATACTTGGATTACAATATGTAATATTCAGGTTTAATAACACAGATGGTGGCATCTGTGCCCTTACTTTGCCTCTTGTCTTCGGCATTTTCCAACACGTTGTCTTAGCACCACTCCTTTCTTTGTAGGAAGGGGCAGTGTTGAGGCACGCTTCTCTTCAGGTCCCCTCTGCTTGTAGCCTTGCAGGAGATCTGAGCCCGGCGGCTGCCCCGTGATAGCTCACATCCGGCCTCTCCAGTCCTGGGGTGGTTCCCCCCGCCCCCCGACTTCCATTCAGGGTGTCGGTTCCTGCTGCCTGCACAGCTGTCACTTGGAATATGGTTTTTATAGTGTGTTTGCTTCCTTCCTAGCTGAAATCGAATGAGAGCTGTCCTGCCCTGGTGTGTGACATGGGCAGCAGGGAAGTTTACATTGTTCTCCTTCGAGAGGCAGAGGAAACAACTGCCGCATTCGATTGTTAGGACCACCAGGTGGTACCGTCCCTCATGATGGCCCCACACACCAGGCTTCCTCAGGGGCAGCCTGACATACGTGTTTAAGGTCAGGTCTCTGTGCCAGCTCCTAAGTTGTGACAGCACACAGTGGAAGAGGTGACCTCTGGGGTTGGAGCCTGGGCCACAACCAAGACCAAAAATGTCTGACCTTCACAGGGTGCCCACCAGGGAGCTCCCCACTTCAGGGCCTGGAAAACTGCCTCAGGGAGATCTCTGTTTCCAGGCCACAGCCTTCCCAGCCCTGCCCCTCTGCAGTGGACAGGGCACTGAGGAGAGCGGAGCCCAGGACCTGGGTGACATACAAAGAAGGTAACTTGGTCTTACAAGGAAGCCAATGGGAGTGGAAGGGGGCCTGGGAGTGGGCCCAGCTGCCACCACGCTGTTTTCCCCCAGAGCCTGCAGGGAAGACCTTTGAGCTGAGGAGATGTTCTAGAGGTACCCAGGCAGTCTCGCCCTGAAGCCCAGTGGTTGAGAACCCTGCTGTGGTGATGCTCTCTCTGCTTCTGTGACTACACAAGGCTCCATGGGGCTGACAGGCATTTGGCTTTCTCTTGACACAGGACTGAGAGGCGAGGCCTGTGAGCCAGTCCACAGCACCCAAGGAGGAGGAGAGGGGCCCACCCAGAGTCCCCGCTGGGCCAGCCCACAGGTTTTCCCTTTCAGCTGTGTCCCTGCCTGCCACCAACCAGGACTCAAAGACCAGGGTGCCACCAGGCCAAGACCGTGGAAGAGGTCACAAGACGGTAAGGTGCCCTCAGTATTGCCTGGCATATTTTCCAGTTGAGAAGGAAGTGGATTTCCCATCTGTCTCTGTTCCTGTTCCTTCCCTGATTCACATTCTGTGCTTGGAGTATAGATGCCAGGGCCAGGCAGAAGCTTCCATGTGCTAGGAAAGAAGATGAAGTAACTCAGGTGCCAGGAGAGCTGGGTAGCTGGCCCTCATTCTGTCAGCCATTGAGTTTCTCAGGGAGAGATGCTGGCCCAGGGAGGTGCCCCTAGACAGCTCCTCAGCAGCCCCCAGGTCTTCACAGGGTGACAGGATGACAGCTCATTAGTGTGACCAACTGGCAGTCACCAAACTGATGGCCCCTCCTGTGTGGCACTGGGTGAAGGGACAGTGACCTGCCATGAGGGATGGGCTGCCTGGCTTGTTAGACCTGGGACCTGGCCAGAACTTCACCACTACAGCTTCTGGAAGTTTCCTGGCTGACTTTCCAGGGGAGCAAGACTTGGCTCTGGCTTCTCTTCCTTGCACCTCCCACAGCCAGTGAGTGAGCTGTTCAGGCCTCCCTGGAGCCTGTGTATGCTGTAGGCCAAGCCTGAACATCCTCCTGTCTGCCTTGAGTGATGGGCAGCAGCTCTGTTGTTTTTCTAGGGCTCGTGGCCAGACCCTCCCCACTGCATTGCCTGGAGAGCTCTCTGCGGGGGATTCTGCCTGCCAAGCCCTTGCGTTTCACCTGCCTGACCGACCCCAGCCCTGGGCCAGGCCCCAGCTCCAGCTCGAGCCTCTACAGCTCTGACGGAGAAGACCTGCGGCCAGAGCCAGAGATCTGGCAGCCACCCCTCCAGGGTGAGCTTGCTAGGTGGGGCAGTGAGCTGCTCTCTGGGGTGCCGCTCAGCACACTGACACCTGCTTGCTTATGATACAGAGAGAGGCCACTTTCCCAGCTGCAAGCATCCTGTCCCTCTGTCCCCTGGCCCCAGTGGATCCTCCACTGGCAGCAGCAGCTGCAGCCCTGCAGACAACCCTGGGGCAAGAATAGAGCCCCAGGACTACAGCAGCCTCAGGGCAGGTGAGCTAGGGTCTCTGCAGAGGGTGGCTGTGTGTCTCTGGAGGGCCAGGGCTCCAGATTGTCCTGGGTGCCTTGTCTGACTCTCTGCTGGCTCTAGTCATCTCATGTCTGATGCTTTAGTTGTCAGCAAGGAGGAATAAGCAAGGGAGGCGGATTATTGGGTAGGGGGCATGGGCCACACTTGTGACCACCCATGCAGAGAAAACTGGCAAGGTGTTTGATGATATGTGCATACTGTGTGCTTAATATGCATGCATGTGCTTAATATGCATGCGTGTGAAACATGCATGTGAATGTGTGTGTATGTAATATTAACATTGTATCATGTGATACTATAACATTTGTAAAATTTGACAGTCAACAAAAGAAGTATCAAAAATGAGATTTCTGGTGGCCTATGCCTGTAATGGTGGTGCATACCTATAATCCAAGTACTCAGGAGGCTGAGGCAGGTGTTTGAGACCAGCCCAAACTACACAGCAAGACCCTGTCTCAAAAAGATTTTAAAAAATCAGAGATTTCCTCACTGGGAGAACATGTTTGAGGTTGTCCCATTAAGAAGGGTAGACATACCTGGGCTTGGTGGAATACACCTGTAATTCTAGCCCTCTAGGAGGCTGAGGCAGAAGACTGCAAGTTTGAACCCAGCCTCAGCAACTTAGTGACTGTCTCAAAATTTAAAAATTACTGTTGAGGAGTTCAGTCCCCAGTACTGGGGAAAAAAGAAATTAGTGTCACTAGAGATGCTGACTTCAGCCCTAGGCCACTTTACTTTTCCATCCTGGCTGTGACCTAGTGTTTGCCCCTAATAGGAAAAGCAGAAGACAAGACTGGAGGCAGCTCTCTGTTGCTCAGGAGAGAAGAGGGCGCAGAGAGCACATGTCAGCCTGGCTTTCCCCGCAGTGCCGCAGTCAGAGGAGGAAGAGGGAGAGGTAGGACCCAGGGAAAGTCGAGAGGCTGGCTCCGCTCTCAGGCCTTGACCCATGCCTGGTGTAGGGGCCAGCTGTACCATGTTCCGCATGGCCCTGGCACCTAGAGGAAAACGGTGGAGCCAGCTGGTCAGATGAGCAAGTCCCCAGCTCGTGGTGGAGTCTCCCTGGGATCAGAACCCAGAGATCAGATCCTGCCCACCTGTCCTTGGCCTGGTGGACTCCATGGCTAAGGCTAGAACTGGAGGATTCTGAGTCACATGTGGACAACACCCACCACAGTCTTCTCTCCCACTCATGTAACAGGCTGGGCTTCCTGATGGGCCAGGGCTCCATCTTGCATCTTATTTAATCTTGGTTTAAAAGCTGAACGTGGCTTTTTGGGGGCCACATCAGAAGATCCCCATGTCAGAGCAGCTCCTGTAAAAGTATACATAACTCTTCCCCAAGTCTGTGTGTTCTTTCTGCAGAGACAGCTGGGGCCCCCTGGCCTGTCCCTCCACCAGAGAAGAGGCCCATGAGGGCCAGTGAGGACCCCAGGGGCCTGGAGCCTGGATGCAGAAGACCTAGTGTTGCAGGTGAGCTGGTGGCTGCTCTGTGCCCTCTGCACGGGCCAGGACCAGGTCTCAGCTTGAGGAGGAAAACACTCCAAGTTCATCATTCTGGCCACAGTGAGGAAAAGTCTTGCCCAGAAATCTGTTTCTCTGCAACGTTTTATAACATAACATAAATCAATGGGGTTTTCTCAAAAGCACGGATCTGCCTGAGAGGTGTTCCAAATCAATTGGGGGTCGGAAGGGACTTTAGAAGACAGTGGTAAAGGAACCCTAGTACTGTCGGGACCTGGCAGTGCCCTCCAGGGAGCTTTGGCTCCAGATCACAGCCTGCTCTTAGGTAGGGGTGATGCACCCACACACTGGGTCACACATGACTTGCCAGGTGGCCTGGGCAGAGGTATCCCACCTGGCATTGTCTGCCCACTCTTAGAATGTGAGGTTTAAAGCCCTGGCGCATCCAGGAAGCCCTTGCCATTCCTCACATGGAAGCCTGGGACCAAACTCTGGCTTTGATTAGAGAACCAGACCAAATGGGGTGAGGTCTGCCTTGGCTGTCGCTGTCCTCTGTCCACAGCCTTGGAGGTGCTGAAAAGATGAGGGCTGAGCCTTGCTCAGGAGCACTGCCTCAGTCTGGGGTGAGCAGGTTAGACTAGGAGGGGTGATGATGGCTGATGCTGGCCCATGAGGCTTATCTGGTGTTGACACCAGTTCCCGGGAAAGAGCTGAAGAATTTGATGTATTTTTTAAAACATAACTTAAGGTTAGAGTCCTCTGAATCTTACCTGCTAAGTGGGGAGAGGAAAGGCAAGAGGGCCAGGCCCCGTGGTTTGTGTGTAACCACGAGTCCTCCTGGGTACTGAGTGGCCTTGGTATCCTCAGCTGTGTCCCAGTCTGTCCCTGGTGCCCCTGGCCTTGTGCTGTCAGGGGTCCTGTTCTGGGCCCATCTCAGTGACCCGTTAGGGCAGGAGTAAGTACTCTAGGAGACATTGAATCCCAGGAGTAGCACAAGGAACCCATTTACTTTTTTCCTAGAAAGTGGGAGACCACTATGTCTGGGCAAGTGTGGTCACCATGGAAACTCAGTCTGGTTGATCCTGCCTGTCAGAGGGTGTACAGCAGGCAACAGCTAGTTTTGATGTAACAAGGCTGGGCATCGATATCCATAGGCCATGGGCCAGAGATGCAGTGTGGTAGTAGAGGGATTGCCTTCCATGCACAGGCCCTGAGTTTGATCCCCAGTATTACAACATCTTTGTGTATTATACGTAATGTACTTTCTTAAACTAGAGCAGCCTTCTGTTCTAGAAGCTGGGCTTTAGGGGATCAGGAGACTGAACACCAGTTCAAGGGTCTTCTAGGCAAGAGAAAAGTCCTTACAGCCCATGAGTTCCAACCTTGTCCTTTCTCTAGTTTCAGCCAGGACCCAAGGGAGACTGCTCCTTGGGGACCCACCTGAGCTGCCCAGCAATTGTTCGCCTCCCACAACCATCTCACCTACGTGGTCAGCCACCTCCCCCTGGCCACTGTGCCCCTGTCGGAGGCCCCTGCAGCAGGAGCTGCAGAGCCTGGGTGCCACCCTCACGGAGAAGCTGGACCAGCTCTTTGCAGCCCTGGCAGGCCTGGCTCAGGAAGTGGCCACCATGAGGACACAGGTGGACCGGCTGAGGAGGCGTCCACGGGGGCCTAAACCAAAGGGCCCAGCTTCCTGGCTGTGGTCCCTTCCCAGGGGACATCGCTGGGCCCACGGCCCTGGTCACAGACACCTGCCCTACTGGAAACAGAAGGGACCTACTAGGCCCAAACCAAAGGTCCTGCGCGGCCAGGTGGAAGGCTGCAGGTCTGGTGATCCCCAAGGACTGTCCAGAGCAAGAGTATCCCCAGTGCCACAGCTGCCTGCAGACACCGTCCTGGCAGAACCTTCTAGGTCTAACAGCAGCCCATCGCAGCAGCCCACCTTGGGGTCCAGTTGTCCTGCTGTGCTGAATGGTCACACCCTCCATGGACACCCTGGGCACCACCAGGGCCTATTCACCCCTCTCATCCCTGCTGCCTCACCCCTACTGCAGGCCTCTCCCACAACCAGCACAGACCCAGAGCCATTGGCTGCAGGAAGTGCCCAGGTCAGCATCCTAACCCAGTCCAAGGAGCCAAGGGGAGTCCTCCGAGAGGACCTCTGGGGTGGTGAGCACAGAGACCCAAGGTGGGGGGCCCGTTAACTGGACCCTTCATCAGGCTGGCCTCACTGAGCATGCAGAGGGTGCTGGACAGGTTCCCCTGCTCTGCCCCGTGGCCCTTCCCGCTGCTGGAGTTGGAGCCCCAGTGGTGTCTGCTCTGGAGGCTGCCATGGAGCATTCTTCGACCACACCTCAGGTTTTCTTGGCTCAGGTTTATGTAGACATTGCTTCTGCCTTTCGTCCTCACCAGATCTGTCCAGGGTCACTGCTGGGCAGCAGTACACATGCACAGAGGCAGCTGCAGGGTGGGCACCAGGGCCGTCACTGCTGGCTGCCCACCCTTCTGGGCTCTGCACTGCCTTCCTGGAGTGAATGCCAGTCCCAGTTGAACCTCAGGAGAACTGTGGCCAAGGTCAAGCTGGGTTTACTGATGTGAATTCCAAAATTAAAGACGTTAGCTGCTGGGGAAAGACCTTGGCTCCTATAGGAGGTGTGGTTTGTGAGGCCTGTGTGGGAGCGTGGCTCACACATTGTGCCCCCAGGTGCAGTCACAGTGTGCACTAAAGATGGGGCAGGGCCCGTGTGGGTCCCTGGGGAAGGGCTGTACACCAAATACCATGGACTGGGCTACTGATACCCAAACCTCAAAATTGAGGTGCTACCAGGGTTGGTTCTTCAACAGGCTGTGGGGGTGGCTGTCTGTTTCAGGCTTCATTGTACCTTTGAATGGCTTAGTCCATGTTCCCACAGGTCGGAGCATGCCAGGACCCCTTTTGTATCAGAACACAGTGATACTAGCTAGGGAGTCACCTCACCAATTTAACTTGATTACCTCTAACCATCCTCTCTTCAAAGAATGTCACACTCATGGGTTGAGGGGCACGCCTCTTGTAATGCATTAGGGGGCTGGGCCAGGCATTTGGGTTGTCTTGAGGTGGCAGTGTGACCAGATGTTTGAAAACTACTTCTGCCTGTTGGACCAGAAGGGACCTGTGTCACCCCAACAACCAATACCTGGAGCTGAAACTTCCTGTACCAATGGGAAGACCCGGCTGCTTGGGGCTGCGCAGGAAGCTCTGCTGTCAGAGCCCTGGGGACCTTGGAAATCCAGGGTGACAGGGGCTCTGACCATGGTGACTTGACCACAAGCAGCTCGTGGCTGCCTGAGCATCTTTAAAGTCAGTTTTGCTGGAAACATGGGTGCCTGGTACCCTCACAAGGAAGGGCAGGTGGCTCTGTCTGGGGTGTCAACAGAGCTCCTGCTCCTGGCTGCCTGGTGGGTGACTGAGCAGTAGAGGAGACAGCAGTCACTGTCACAAAGGGAATCTTCAGGACTAAAGCAAATGTTGAGGCAGCACCTTGGAAATTAATGTCCATAGGATCACTGAGCATGAAGGTGGTGGGAACAGGCAGTGGCTTCCCTCACAGAAGAGGCCTGGGGAGGAAACGAGGCCTTTCCGAGCTGGAGGACCTGTTTGCAGACAGCGAACAGGACAGGCCATGGCTCCCCGACGCCTGAGGGTCTCAGCAGCTGCCCCTCCTTTCCAGATAGGCAGGCAGCTTGTACTTTGGGAAAGGGAGGGTGTAAGGGAAGGAGAAAGGCACCTGAGAAGGGGGCAAAGGGGTCCTCAGGAAAAAAGACTTCTGTCCCCAGCTTCACACTCCCTGCTAAGAGGAAGAGATGTTGGCAATAATGGGAAGGGCCTGGTGCTGTGTCTGTGTGGCATGGCCAGGTCACTTTGCTCTGTGGCCAGCGCACAGCTGTTGGGCACACAGGTAAACAAGCAGACTCGGTGTCCTGGCTCTTAGCGGAGGGGGGAGATAGCTTAACTGAGCTTGGCACAGCCCTGCATCCACTGGCACAGCTACCTCCTGTACCTGCGTGGGACAGGCAAGAGTCAGGACTGAGCCCAGTCTAGGTAGTGCAGAGCCAGGTGGGCCATAAATTAAGTTCAAGACTGAAATATGAATAAAATGCATAGCAAAGGTTTTGTGACGTGAGCTGTGTTCATCTTGCAGGAGGTTAAGTCTCTAGGTCCTGTGGCTACCACAGTGGTTCACTGAATCCTAGAATCTTCGGTGCACAATGTGTGCAGGTTAGATCCTTGGTACCATGTCCAGGTCTAACTCCTGTCCAGAAGAGGTCTGGGGAGGAAATGAAGGCGTTCCATATTGGAGGACTTCATGAACTCTGTGGAGTTCCAGGAGCCTGGAGTGTGGCACAGAGGAGGCCTCAGATCTGCCTAGCCCAAGAAGTGTCTAAGGCACAGGCTACTACAAATGACCTGAGTGCAGATCTTCCCCCAGCCCACATTGGCGTTCCGCTGCTGGCCTGAATTGTGGTCCCCCATGAGGCAGCAAAGCTGGAAAGTCCTGCTTCAGAAGTTAGAAGGCTCCTCGTCCCACAGTCCCCAGGCTACCCAAGGGCCCTGATGGAAAGGAGGCTGGAATAGGGGAGTGTGGGGACCACAATTCACTGCCTGTGACACCCTGTGATTCAGTGCTGCCTCAGAAAGGAGTTTGGTGTGCTGCTGGAAGGCCAGTGTTTGACCTTATTTCAGTGGGAAAGAAATGGCAGAAGAAAACACTTTGGTTCCAGCAACTCTAAGCCATCTGCAGGAAAGGGGAAGAAATTACAAAGCAAAGCTACAACTAGCAGCAAAAAAGGACTGAGAAGTCACCCCTCCTGTCCCTTCACACATGTCTGAGGACTCCTTGCTTGAAAGACCCTGCTGTCATGAATGAAGTGTTCGTGAATGACGTCATCCTGTATGTCACCAGGCATCGAGCATGTACCTTAATATTGGCAAGTCCCTCCTCCTGGAGTGGAGCTTGACCTTGTGCCTCCTTGCTGGGTGGGGACAGAGGAGTGTCCTTCAGGTCTTCCCTGCTGACTGCAGAGCCCATACCTTAGCCTCACATATAAGGCCTCCCCTCTGTGTCTGCTACTGGACCACCAATCCCATTGTTCACCAGGTCCTCCCACAGGAGTGAGTCTCTGACCCGCCTCAACTGCTCTAAACTCTTACATACCAAAGCCCATCTTCCTTTGCTGTTTTCCTGCCAGAAGTATTGTCCCTGCAATACCCAGTTTCATTTGTCAAAGCCCAGTGTTCCCATCTCCACCTGGCAGTCAGAATTAACAGCAAAAACAGTGATGGCTCATGTTTATTAACCCCAGAAGGGTCACAGCAATCTTATGAGGTAAAATTTATAACTCCACTTAATAGGTTCAGAATTTAAGCATCTTGAGACTTCTGGGAAGGTGACAGAGCAGTAAGCAGCAGAGAAAACAGCCTCTCTGAGAGTCACTGTCCAGATGTTAGAACAGAACACCCTAAGGAAGCAAGTGGGTCCCTTAGACCTAGAAGAATGTGAAGTGCAAATTGAACCACAAAGAGAGTAAAAGAAAAACTTCAACAAAGAAGGTGGTAGCTGGCAGTGACTTCTGCCTGAGACAGGATTCACTTCACGAGAGGAGCTGTTCAAACCTGGGGACTCATGGTGTTGATGGCTGGTGACCACAGAGGCCTCTGCAGAAAGATGTGGCAGTGGAAGGGAGTGGCAGATGTGGAGGACTGCACTGGTTGGCAGTGAGTGCAGAGGACTTGGTCCTCCCATGGGGAGACTGGCCAGGAGCCATTTTGGAGTCAGACCAGGTAATTCCAGAACCCAGAATTGCTGCCAGCTTCCTCCAGCAGCTCCTAGCTGGACGCAGACCTGTGGAAATTGCTTGGACTGTGGAAAGCTCTGTGAGTCTAACCTCAGGGCATGCCTGCTGAGATTATCCACTACTCTGTCATAAATCAACTGCTGGCTTGCTGAGTGACATGATTTGGGATTCTGTCTCCACAGGCTGTCTACTGTAAGTGAAACCAGAGAGAATCCTAGAAGTGGACTATTTGTTTTTCTTTTTTTCCCTTCTGTTTGTTTCATTTTGCTTTATTTTTTTCTTTTCTTTTTCTCCTTCATTTTTTTAATGAATGTGAAAGTGCTTCCTAACCTCTTTGTGGGTGTAGTTCTGTTCTGTTCTTCCTTTTATCTCTTCCATCTCTCTTTTCCTTCAGTCTTCTGCACCAGTTTCCCCAAGTTGGCGTGATCCCACCTTTGTCCTCGTACTTGTGATCTCTTTCTCTTCTTCCACTTCTCTATTTTCTCCTTACTCCATTTTAAATTTTATTGGCAGCAAAATGGACACATTATGGACTTATATACTGCATATAATCAACCTGGTTTGTTTTACATTTTGTTATATAATCACAAATCTGGTTCATACAGTTAGAAGTTGCAAGTTAAGGTTTAGCTCAGTTTGCTGTTTTCTAGGCTGTATTTTAGGCTATTAGCACCACTATAGCCAAGATCGATATAATTGTTCTAAACAGCCATTGGCTCTGATAATCGATTACTGAGATTAACTGAGGGTCACAGATAATACAGTGGCACAGTACCAAAGAACCAGGGACTAGGCCAAATAAGCAACAACTTCTCATCTCCAGCAAACTGAAGAGGCAAGATCTTCCAACAGACTCAAAACTCAAAATCAAGCTACACATGGAAGATACCTCAGAGAAGTAATTATTGCTTAGTGGCCCTAGATACTACCAATAAAGCAACCAATTATAGGCAACTTACAAACATCACCCCAGGAATTAAACTAAAAAAAGAGAGAAAATAAAATGAGAAGACTTAAGCAGAATGCAACCCCAGGTATCTAGTTCACCAAAGGCAAATACAGGGGGCAATAAGGGGACAACCTGAAAGACCTCACCAAGTCTCTCTGAAGTGGAAACAACAAATGAATGAGGCCCTGGAAAAAATGAAATCAGGCATAATCTCTCAGATAACTGCAGAGATCACCAAAGTACACACAATACTTGGCGATATCAGAGCAGATACAGACAAAAACAAAAAAAAAACCCATGAGCTTAAACAAATTATAGAAGTGCAGCATAGAAAAAAATGGAATCCATATAGCAGATTCAAGCAGATATCCAGGAGAATAAAAACTCCACTGAAAGTATTCAAAGCAGGTTAGGCCAATGTGAGGACAGGATCTCAGATATTGAAGACAGGCTTGCAGTTAGTGACCAGAAAAGGAAGCATTTCTCAAAACTAGCAAGACAACATGAGAAATCAATCCAGCAGCTGCTAGAGGGGACAAAGAAGAATAACTTAAGATTAACTGGAGTCAATGAACGAGAAGGAGATACCACAAATGACATTAAAAACACTTTCACAGACATGACAGAAAACTCCTGGTAGAGAAAAAGAATTTGACACACAAATAAGTGAGGCATATAGAACTCCAGTTATCAGTGATCAAAAAAAAATCTACATCCAAGCATAGTCAAGATTCCAGAAATTCAACACAAGAATAGAAGCTGTTAGGGAAAAGAAAGAAATCAACTGCTGGGGATTTAGCTCAGCGGCATAAGCACCTGCCTTGAAAGCAGGCAGTCGTGAGTTCAATCCCTGGTACCGATA